TAATCACAGCGCAGAGCAACAAGCCACAAGAGAGGCATTGCTCGCTTCCCGCTTGCAAACTGAAACTACATCTTCAGCCCTTATCCCGAGTAGAGGAGCAACGCTTCCTGATTCAATTGCTTGATTCACTGGGCTAAACCTTCCACACCAGCCAGCATTGGATTTGCACAAAGAGAAAGAAAGACAAGACCGTCTAGCAAAGCCCTTATTGTCCAATCCAAATCTACCCTCCTGCCTATTCTGTAACAAGAGCATTCGATGCTTCCTGTACTGCTCGAAGGGTCAGCCCCGGGGCGGAACTCCCCTCACCCTCTACATTTTGCTGAGCTGCATGTGGTGCAGCCAGGTTAGGTAGGGAAGATCATGCCTCATATATCTGGGTTGCCATAATAATTATTAATCCACGACCCACTCCACGAGAACTCACTGGATAGGTCAGATGGTGATGGCAGAGGAAGCCCCGGCCCCGTCCACACACTCAAGACTAGCGGGAATAAGGGGAGGGGGGAAAACCATCATACCTACGAGAGAGAGAATACACCTAGATGCGAATCCAAGAAACGAATAAAGAAATGCTAAATCACAACAAGATATACATCAGAAGTACAAGTTGAAGGCCTTACTTCTCTTTCAAATGAAAAAAATAATGATGAAAGAGAAAGAAGCAGCTGAGAATAATTATTCCAAACATCATTCTCTTCGGGCGTCTTTGGCCTTGTTACGAAATGGGCGAGGGATGGTCCTGCCTAAGGTATACATTGGATAGTGGCTTACAGAATGGCCAGATGGATAAAAGGAGGAGATAAAGGATCTGACTGAATCATGGCCACATTAGAAAGCATGTAATGTGGGTTAAGAGGTAGCCAGGCTAGAAGAATAGAAAGAATTTGACCTTTGAAAAACAAACTCTTATAAAGAAAGTAGGAGCTATTGCGGCCCCAGTGAAAGAAGGTGAAGGAGTCAAGTTCGTAAACCGTAAACTCTCATTAATCCTTTGTTTACTGTTCAGGAAAGCAAGGGAGAGGTGAAGGAGAAACAAACAAACAAACAAACAAACACCTATTTACAGAGGGAAAGAATAATAGTAAAGGAGAAAGAAGAAATAGGCGAAGGAGAATGAATAAGAAGGAAGGAAGGAGGGGGAGTAAAAGAGTGAAAGCAAGAAAGGAGAAGAGAAAGAATGAATAGGTGACGGTTTGAGGTCTCTTGACTTCCTTTAACATTACCTAAAAAATAGATAGAGGATAGAATTACCAAATAAATCGTACATCAAAGGGAAAGAAGGGAATAAAACAAAGAAAGCTAGAAAGTCTAAGCTAAGACAGAGAGGAGGTAACCATCTCGAGAGTTCCAGAAGGATTGAAGGAGAGAAGCCTATGTTACCTCGTCAATCAGTCAAAGGTTTAGGAGTAAAGGATAACGAATCGGAAGGTGAAGGTGAAGTCGTGAGGGATCATGAATCGGAAGGTGAAGGGGATGAGAAAGAATTAATCGTTTCGTCTTGACTTGATGAATAAGGCAATGGAATTGTAAGACCAATAGAATAGGTGGAAGAATCAATAGGGAAAGGAGGGAGGGGATAAGTAATAGAGTGAAAGAAGAAATAGGGTCCGGAGTTCAGTAGTTGAGTCTCATTCATCTTTAATTAGAGAATAAATATCAAAAGAATAGGAACAGGAGAAGGAATCTTTCTTTCGGCTTTCCTCCTCTCCCTGATTTCCTTCCGGTTTAGGGTCAGTTGCTTCTCTTTCATTGAATGAATTTACTCGACTGTAAAGAAAGGTTCCGGTTCAGGATCATCAATTGCTTCTCTTTCATTTTCTTCTTCTTTCATTAGGGGTTCATCACTATTCTGGAACTGTAAACAAACTCTCTGATCTTTCTCCCTAGTCTTTAGAAAGGTAAACGAGAATTAATGTTTCGGCTTGACTTTCTCTTTTACCCAGTGTAAAGTTCAGGGGCGAAGACATGAAACCGAGTTGGAGAGGTGAAGGGGCGAAGACTTGAAACCGAATGGGAATCACTACAAGGGGAGTAAGATTCAGATTACCTTGTAGATCGAATATCTCAAGCCAAGAACACTTTGTTTGAGATTCGAATCACTCCAGAAGCAAGATCGATCATGTCTAGCTTCAATGATTCTTGTTGATCAAATATCTCAAGACAAGAACACTTGATTGAGATTCGAATCACTCCACAAGCAAGATTGATCATGTCTCTTACAAATACAACCTACATGGCTTTATATAGACTCAAAATGAAACTACTAAATGCATTCCAAGAGTTGTAACATTCATACTTAATGGCCATAATGAGCCATTATGTAAATGTAACCTAAAAAATCTTAAAATACAATAACTCTAAATTACTCTAAATTGTAACCCACCCAAAATTTACAACAATCAAACTTCATTCTTCCTCAATGTAGCATGAGTTGAAACATCTTTTGATAATTTTGACACCCTTTTCTTCGCATCTTCATTGAAGTATATTGTATGATTGATGTATCTTGGTTCATATCATGAAGGGGTAGGTTCAGGTTCAGTAGTTCCATCTGGTTCAGTAGTTCAGTCTCAGTCTTCTTTCTTCTTCTTTTCTTACAGGAGAGTAAGGTCAAGAAAAGAGCTACTTCAACTTCATATGCTTTACAGAGTTCAATCAGTCTCATGAGTTCAATCAGATCGATTAGTAGGATCAGGATAATTTCTCTTGTCTTGCTTCAGTCTTTCCTCTCATTCATAAGGAGTCTTTGATTTACTTACCCTCCCTTCTTTCAAACACTTACAACTTGTTCAATCAGTAGGAGAACGAGGATCAGGAGTCTTTGTCTTGTCTCCCGAATTTCATTCTCTTATCTTTTCTATACTTGACTGTAAACTGAAGGTCAGGTTCATAAATCAGGGAAATAGGTTCAGGTTCAGTAGCGAATGGAAGGGACAGGCAATGGAATTGCTTGTTCTGATCTTTCTTGACTTACTCTTAGTGCTTGCTTTACCGAGTTCAATCACACTCATTCATAAGGAGTGGAGGAGAAGAAGTAGTAGATAGAGTCTTTCCTTCCTTAATGCAATAACTAGGTTACGGTGAAGGATCAAGAGCAGTTCAATCAGGTTCAGTAGTTCAGGAGCTGATCCTCCAGTTTCCCGAGTTTACTCTTCTTCAAGTGATTGAGTTCAGTCTCATATTAATGTTGAGTCTTCTTCAGCCCTTCCTTAAACCTTCCTTAAAAGCATAAGGACAAAGAGAAGAAGTAGTTCAACCTTTGTTTACAGTCGAGTAAAAGAGTGAAAGAAAGGAGTGAACTCGAATGAATCTTGAGTTGAGTCTTTGTTTACTGTTCCTTCCTCATTACCGCCTTCAATAACAAATGGGAATACCGGTTCAGTCTCATGAGTTCAATCAGTAGGAGCTTGAGGAGAAGAAGTAGTTGAGTCTTGTCTTACAGTTACGTCTCATGAATAAATAGGAAAAGGAGTGAACTCTCATTAATAGGAGTAAGTAGCTCTCCTGTCAAGCAGCTAATTCATTGATTCAAACACAGTAAAGGATCATGATTCGTTTCTTTCGTTTAGTCTTTCGTTTAGTCTTTCGTTGAGTGTTTACAGTCTCGTAAATGAATTTCATATGCTTTCCCTTGTCTTTGAATAAAGAAGTAATAGTAAGCACGAGGTTCATGAGTTTACAAGCAAGAGAGTCAATTCAATCTGAAGCTGCTTTACCGAGTTCTCGAAGGCAAGGGAATAGAGCCTCAGGTTCAGTCGCTTCTCTTTCTCTTTTACACCTTGTGTTTGAATAAATAGGTTCAGGCCAGAGAGTATAAGGTTACGGTTTGAGGTTGAGTCTTTCAATTCTCTTTTCTTTGTGAAGGTCAGACAGGGAATAGAAGTTGAGAGGCAGGCAGTGCAATTGTGAAACCGAGTTTACGAGGTGAAGGAGCGAAGCCAGCCCAGCCTGGTCGTTCCGTAAACTCTCTCTCTCTCATTCATCTTTCGGCTTCCTTCCCGAGTTTACTGTGAAAGAATAGAGTGTCAGGGGAAGTATAAGTAGTTCAACACCCGAGTTAAAGAATGAATAGGAGTATTAAGGAAATGAATAAATTAGCAGCTTGACCTCCTTAAAGAATCATCCTACAGCCAGCCTAGCCTACCCGCCGCCTATTTACCTCGTCTTTGAAGAATAGCCCATCCTGGGTTTGTTTCGCTTGAGTCTGTCTTTTTTTACAGTTTTGAAAGTGATTGAGTGAAGGAGATCAGTTCGTAAACAAACACCTATTACAGAGTGAAAGAAGTAATAGTCCCGACAATGGAATTCTGAGACCGTAAAGAAAGGACAGAAGAGAGAGAAGTAGTTCAGTCGAATTCATCTTTTTCTTTGATAAAGGTTCAGGAGTTGACTTTACAAGCAAGAGAGTCAATTCAATCCTCAGCCTATTTACCCAATGAAAGAGTTCAATCTGTCTATCTAATTCATCTTGAGTAGAGTCGTTGTTCTGAAAGAAGGAGCAAACAAACCTCGTGAAAGAAAACACCTATTCTATTTACCTCGTAAAAGAGAGAAAGAAGGGACAGGAGAATTCATCTTTCTTCTTCTTTTACAGTTCAAGAATCAATCAATAGGAAAAGGAAGAACACGAAGTTCAGGAGAATACTATTTACAGAGTTCCGGAAGGGAAGTAGTGATTGAGTGAAGGAGAATTCATAAGGAGTTGAGTGTTTACAGTTCAAGAATAAAGAGGAGCCCAGCAATGAGACCAATGAATGGAAGGAAAAGGGGTTCGTTCGGTTGAGCAAGTAGAAGTAGGGAGAGGAAAAAGAGAAGTTCAAGCAAGAAGAAATAGGTGAAGGAGAAAGAATAACTCACAATCACAATAACAGATGGTAATACAGTCAAAGAAAAGGAGAAAGAAGAAATACAGGGCAGGAAGAAGACGAGTTGGAGAGGCGAATGAGCGAAGCAGCTTTACCGATAGGTTCATGAGTTCAATCCAATCTGGTGCAGGAGTTTACTGTTCTAGAATCAATAGAATAGGTGAAAGAAGGGAGAGAATGCATTGATAGTCTTGCTCGGCGAGCTACTTACTCCCTCTTCTCGTAACCCACCTATTATTCAGTCAGTCAAAGAAAGAGAACGACAAAGAAGGTCAGGTAATTGAGTAGAGTCAAAGAAAGGAGAAGGTTTGCGGTTGAGTCTTTTCAGTTGAAGGAGAAAGAGCAGCAGTTCTCGAATCAATAGGTTCCCCGCCTAGAGTGAAGGGACAGGTGCAGGAGTGAAAGGAATAGAGACTGAGGCTCAGACAGGAGAAAGAAGAAATAGGTTACAGGTTACATTACATCTAGTTCAGTAGTTCAGGAAATAGAATTGCTTTACCAAGTTCCATTAGGAAAAGAAAGGTGAATGAGTAAGTAGCTGCGAGAAAGATCAGTGTTTGAATAAGAAGGAGCAAATAGATTGATAGTTTACGAGGTTCAGTAGTGATTGAGAATGCATCTTGAGTTTCGGCAAAGGATCGACCAGCAAGGTCAGTTAAAGAATCGGTTCAGGAAATGAAATTGGGAAACCGAGGTGTAGAGGTGAAGGAAATGAAATTGTTCAACTGAGTTTACGAGGTGAAGGAGCGAAGCAGAGGTTCCGGTTTTCAGTTTCCTTCTTCGTCTTGACTTCCTAATTACAGAGTGAAAGAATATAGAGGAGCGAAGCAGACCGATAGTTGTAGAGCGAGGGGAATGAGGGAATCCCCGTGCCCCAACTTTATCGAGACTTGAAAGTAAATAAAAAGGTCCATCCAATTAGTTAGATTTGAATGAATGTGTATAGCAGCATCTAGCCTTACGAAAGGAGAAAGAGAAGAGACAGATCTTGTTTACAGTTCAAGAAGAATAGCCCTACCTAGTTCAAGAAAGAAGGAAGAAGACTACCTACCTTGTTTACAGTTCAAGAATAGTTCCACCTCAACCCCTAGTGACAGAATCAGAGAATGAAAGCAAAAGACGAAGAAAAGAGACAGACCCATAAGCATAGGAAAAGGAAGAAAGAAGACAAAGATAGAGTGAAAGAAGGTGAAGGAGAAAGAGTGAAGACGAGGTGCAAGGGGTTCGGTTCCGTCTTTAGTTTACAGTTCCATCAATCAAAGGTGAATGAGCAAATCCTTCTTGAATGAGTCTTTCAAGCAGAATCAAAGGAAAGAAAAGAGACCCAGTGAAAGAAGTAGTTCAGTCGAATGAATCTTTCGGCTTAGTTTACAGTTCAGGGAGAGGTGAAGGAGCGACACGAAGCCACGAGACCGAGTTAAAGAAGGAAAAGTAGCCAGGAGTAAGTAGGGAGAAGGAATCTTTCGTGTTTACAATTTCATTCTTCTTTCTTCTCCCTTCTTTCGTTCTCTATCGGTTCCGGAGCTCAGCAATGAGACGACCATAAAGAATAGGTTCATGAGCTGTTATCCATCCATGTAATTGAAGAAGCTGTAGAAGAGCACCACCACGGTTCAGGTCCCGACATATGGGGGATTAATTTAGCAGCAAGGATCGTGAATCAAGGGAAGGGAAGAATGTTACCATAATTTGGAAGTCACCCCACGACCGAGACCTAGATGGCAACCTCACCTAGTACCTCATAATTGAGAAGGGAACACCCCCCTAGGAAAAAAGCGAAATAAGAAAACACAGGCAGAATGTATTGAGAGGCCCACTCTTTGCATTTGGCTGAAAATGCTCATAGTCTAGAGTTCTGACTCGGGCTCAGGCTGTTACCATCAGCACCAAAGAAAGAAGCCTTATCCTACAGGGAGACTGCGAAGAGCTCCAGGTGGAAGGGAGTTTTCTTAGCTCCCAATATGCCGAATGTCGAATCCCTAACAGGTGACGATGACCATTTCGGTAGACACGGCAGTCCAGTACAAGATGATTAAGGAATCTTAAGAGCCCAGGGGTCATACCTTTCAACCAAATCTAGACATACCTGTATGAGATCGTTAAATAGATCTTCAGGGACAGAGGACGGCCTCTGAACGAGAGAATCGTACCTTTCTTTCTAAGACTAAGAAGAATCCACTTTCTTAAGGAAAATAAAGAGAGTGAACCAGTTGATCATTTCGCCCCTCCTACTTATTTATTAGGATGAAAAGAAGGAATACACCTAGGAATGCTAGAGTGGTTAAGTGAGGCTGGAAAAGGTAAAGGGAGGTTCATTGTCCTTTCACTAAGAATACCTCTAAAGGACTACACCGCAAGACTGAATATACAAAGTGGTGCCGAGGTTCAGTCGCACCATCTCTGGTTCTTGGTAATGCCATCTGTCCTTTTGCGCCTCATACGCCGGCTCCAAGAATTTCTTTGATAAACACTTTATGCTGGTAATGCTGGGGCACACCTTAAAGTAAAGTGCTCCTCCCCAGCCAGGTCCACTCAACTATCGATGACCTGCCTTCAGTGTTCTTACAGCGCTTCATAGTCTTTATATAGTCTTTCTCGTACACCTGTAGAGCTGCTCATCAAAAAAGGTTTCCCAAGTCGTGTTGCAATGACTCCATCTCTCTCTTGTATTGTGTCCTTCATCCTCAGAATCGGTGTTTGATGGTCTGAATCTCCACTGGAATCTGAACTTGGTGTCTTGGCTTCCTCCTTCGATTCGTCTTGCAAGTGCAGGGTAACCCTGTCCCTGGATCTACTTTCTCGACTTTGTGCTTGCCGCCTACCTAATCCTTCCCAACTCTAGCCGCCTGTAGCTAATCTTTTCCGAGTAGCGTCTCGTAAGCATCTTCGTGCTGAGCCGTCAACACTTCTCAATCGGCTTTATAGCAAGTCTACCATTCTCAGTGTCTAGAACTAGAAACATCGGCTTACCAATCACCTACCATGTCTCCTCTGTTTTTGGATTTCACTTTCCCTTGCTTCGACACCGTGTTTTGGCTTGACTTCTTTAAAAGAAAAAGTTTCTTTCTTTTTCAATCTTTTTTGAATCCACCAATCAGACAGATATTGATTTTGATGAAGAGACAGAAGGAGGTGATATGAACCAAGAGACATCATTCATACAATATACTTCAATGAAGATGTGAAGAAAATATTGTTGAAATTATCAAAAGATATTTCAATTCATGACACATTGAAGAGGAATGAAGTTTGATGGTTATAAATTTTGGGTGGGTTACAATTTAGAATAATTTAGAGTTATTGTATTTTAAGACATTTTATTTACTTTAGGTTACATTTACATAATGGCTAATTATGGTCATTAAGTATGAATGGTACAACTTTTGGAATGCCTTTAATAGTTTCATTTTGAGGATAAAGCCATGCATGTTGTATTTGTAAGGTAGACTTGGAAAATATAGTAAAAGAAGCATTTGTGCGCTTCTTTAGCCAATGGCTAAGTTTCTTTGCAATTCTATGTAGTTTAGATTGCATGTAGAATCATTCAAGCTCGACATGATCAATCTTGCTTGTGGAGTTATTCAAATCTCAAACAAGTGTTCTTGTGTTGAGATATTTGATCAACAAGAATCATGGAAGCTAGACATGATCGATCTTTGCTTCTGGAGTGATTCGAATCTCAAACAAAGTGTTCTTGGCTTGAGATATTCGAATCTTATTCCCCTTGTAGTTGATTCCTTATCTTATCATCTGGTATCAGAGCTTCAGGCTCAAGATCAGATATATGTTTCCTTTGCGTTTCTTTTCAATTTGTTTTTATCTTTTTCGTTTAATCGACCCAAAATAAAAAATCCAATCTGGGCTTTACTAAAAAAATTGAGAGGTGAGAATGAGAGCTTCATTTGTGTAAATGAGTCAAACAGAGTGGCCTAACATTTCTTGAGTGTATACACATGAGAGATTGTTGTGAGGGCCTTTGTATTTTCATATCTTATGTTTTGCAGCAAAGTTTCACAAATAGATTCGAGGACGAATCCTCTTGAAGAAGTGGAGAATGATATGAACCAAGAGACATCATTCATACAATATACTTCAATGAAGATGTGAAGAAAATATTGTTGAAATTATCAAAAGATATTTCAATTCATGCCACATTGAAGAAGAATGAAGTTTCATGTGATAAATTGTGGGTTGATTACAATTTAGAGTTATTGTATTTCATCAATGTAGTTTAAGAGTTTTTATTTACTTTAGGTTACAATTACATAATGGCTAATTATGGCCATTAAGTATGAATGTTACCACTCTTGAAATGCCTTTAATAGTTTCATTTTGAGGCTATATAAAGCCATGTATGTTGTATTTGTAATTAGACTTGGAAAATATAGTAAAAGAAGCATTTGTGCTCTTCTTTAGTCAATGGCTAAGTTTCTTTGCAATTCTATGTAGTTTAGGTTGCATGTAGAATCATTCAAGCTCGACATGATCAATCTTGCTTGTGGAGTGATTCGAATCTCAATCAAGTGTTCTTGTCTTGAGATATTTGATCAACAAGAATCATTGAAGCTAGACATGATCGATCTTGCTTCTGGAGTGATTCGAATCTCAAACAAAGTGTTCTTGGCTTGAGATATTCGATCAACAAGGTAATCCGAATCTTATTCCCCTTGTATTGATTCCTTATCTTATCATTTGGTATCAGAGCTTCAGGCTCAAGATCGGATATATGTTTCCTTTGCGTTTCTTCTCAATTTGATTTTTATTTATTTTTATCTTTTTAGTTTTTAATCGACCCAAAGTTCAAAATTCAATCTTCGCTATATTTACAATTTTGAGAGGTGAGAATGAGAGCTTCATTTGTGTAAACAGAGTGGCCTAAAAAAAAATCCTTGAGTGTTGTATACACATGAGAGATTGTTGTGAGGGCCTTTGTATTTTCATATCTTATGTTTTGCAGCAAAGTTTCACAAATAGATTCGAGGACGAATCCTCTTGAAGAAGTGGAGAATGATATGAACCAAGAGACATCATTCATACAATATACTTCAATGAAGATGTGAAGAAAATGTTGTCAAAATTATCAAAAGAGGTTGCAATTCATGTCACATTGAAGAGGAATGAAGTTTGATGGTTATAAATTTTGGGTGGGTTACAATTTAGAGTAATTTAGAGTTATTGTATTTTAAGACATTTTATTTACTTTTTAGGTTACATTTACATAATGGCTAATTATGGTCATTAAGTATGAATGTTACAACTTTTGGAATGCTTTCATTTTGAGGCTATATAAAGCCATGTATGTTGTATTTGTAAGGAAGACTTAGAAGATATATTAAAAGAAGCATTTGTGCTTTTCTTTAGCCAATGGCTAAGTTTCTTTGCAATTCTATGTAGTTTAGGTTGCATGTAGAATCATTCAAGCTCGACATGATCAATCTTGCTTGTGGAGTGATTCGAATCTCAATCAAGTATTCTTGCGTTGAGATATTTGATCAACAAGAATCATTCAAGCCGGACATGATCGATCTTGCTTGTGGAGTGATTCGAATCTCAAACAATGTTCTTGCCTTGAGATATTCGATCAACAAGGTAATCCGAATCTTACTCCCCTTGTAGTTGATTCCTTAACATATCAGGAGGGGAGGATATATAGATTTGCGTGCAGAAGAACTCTGCCTGAGAAGTTAGCCCAAGAAGCTTGAGCTTAAAAGGGGTATCGTACACATTTTCTATAATAAGCACTTGGCTATAGGTGGCCATGAGATCGTTCACTCAATCCCGGGGAAAGAACTCCCTGAGCCTTATAGTTGGAAGCTAAACCAAAGCTAAGTAGGCTCGTAGAGAAAGCCATTTTGCAGGTATACCCACGGATCTATGTTCCTGAATAGTAAAGGAGAAGGCCACCAGCATCCGACTTACCAGAATGTCCCATGGCAGCACTATGAAAGTCTTGGTTCCTCTTGTAAGCACCTGAAGTATTAAATTTTAACCGTAAGTCAATTCCCAAGCAAGAAACTTGCTTACCTTCATACTTGGCTTTTTAGCAGAGACAGCAATTTAAACATCATTAGCAATCCTACGATTAGAATCATGAGGGGGAATAAAGTCTCCATCAAAAATAGCTCGACACCTTCACTCTAAACCAAAATCTTCCA